TCTGTAGTCCCAGCTACTCGGTAAGCTGAGTCAGGAGAATCACTTGAACCTGGGAGGCGGAGGTTGCCGTGAGCCGAGATCGCGCCATTGCACTCCAGCCTGGGTAACAAGAGCGAAACTCCGTCAAAAGAAAAAAAAATTAGGAGGCCAGGTGCAGTGGCTCACACCTGTAATCCTGACACTTTGGGAGGCTAAGGCGAGTGGACTGCTTGAGGCCAGGAGTTCAAGACCAACCTGGCCAACACGGCAAAACCCAGTCTCTACAAAAAATACAAAAATTAGCTAGGCGTGGTGGCGCATGCCTGTGATCCCAGCTGCTTGGGAGGTTGAGGCACAAAAATTGCTGAAACGAGGAGGCAGAGGCTGCAGTGAGCCAAGATCGTACCTCTGCATTCCAGCCTTGGGTGACAGAGCCAGACTCTGTCTCAAAAAAAAAAAATTAGGAAATAGCTTTAAACTGTTAACAGAGATGACGTTGGAGAAAAGGAGTCAAAGGAAGAAGGGACAAGGGTGCCTTGTCACACAACTTCAATGCAAATGATGCCCCCTGGAGTTGTGCAACATGGTGACCCTGGGAAGGAGGGTTTTACTTTTTAGTTTCTTTCTATGGTTTGAATATTTTAACATTTTTTTTTAATGCGGATTAAACATCTCAGGAAGTCATGCTTTCTAGATTAATTACTTGAAATTTTTAAAGAGTCAATGAGGTTTATGGGCAGGAAGATTTGGGGCCTTTTCTGTTTGGTTTCTATTCTGTACCACTCTGCATGAAAAGCTAAAGCTGTGAGAATAATAGGTAAGGCTGGGTGCAGTGGCTCACACCTGTAATCCCAGTGCTTTGGAGGCTGAGGGGTGAAGACTGCTTGAGGTCAGGAGATTAAGACCAGCCTGGGCAACATGGTGGAGCCCCCCCACCACCAATCTGTATAAAATAATAATAATAATCGGCTTGGCATGGTGGCAGGGAAGCAGAAGGATCACTTGGACTCAGGAGTTTGAGGCTATAGTGAGCTATGATCACATCACTGCACTCCAGCCTGGGTGACAGAGTGAGACCCCATCTCTAAAAAATAGTAACATACAGTAATATTGAAAATGAGCTAAATGCAAACAATTTGCTTTGGCGATTAGCTTGTTCTGTAACTGCCCCCCTCCCATCTATTTGTAAACTTGTAAATAAGATTTAAATCAACCTAGTCTGATGCTCAGCCCGACCATCTGGTCCTGTTTTCTTTGTCTTGCGCTATATACTATGTATATAGTAATACCATGCTATATTTTTTACCTTAATCAAGAAACACCAGAGAAAGCATGTCATGAGCACTGTAATTGCATTTGTTATAAATAGGTTACTGAGAAATGAGCTATTATCACCCTAAATCCCAATTTTAGAGTTTCGCGTGAACACTTTGTTTCTTTTTTTTAGACAGTCTCGCTCTGTCACCCAGGCTAGAGTGCATGGTGCAACTGCAACGTCCATCTCCCAGGCTCAAGCGATTCTTGTGCCTCAGCCTCCCCAGTATCTGGGATTATAGGCATGTATCACCCCACCCAGATAATTTTTGTACTTTTAGTACAGACAGGGTTTTACCATATTGGCCAGGCTGGTCTTGAACTCCTAACCTCAAGTGATCCGCCCACCTCGGCCTCCCAAAGTGTTGGGATTACAGGCATGAGCCACGGCACCCAGCCCTAAAAAATTTCTCTTAGAACTTAGTGCTAGGAAATGTTACTTCCCCCAGGAACCAGTCTGCTTTCCCACCTTCAGGCAGCCGAGGTGCTGAGCACCATGGACCGGGCTCTGGGAAGGTAGCTGTCATCAAGGCAGCCACAGTCTGTGCTCTCACAGAGCAAGGAAGACAGACATGGAAGAGTGAAAGAGCTGCACGTGTGAGGCTCCCTGGGCTGCCTGGAGCTCAGTTTCACTGGAATCACAGCTGTACAGCTGTAGGCCCCGTATATGGTTCATTGTGTATGTTCTGCTTCTCTGCTTTGCTTTTCTTATACACATGTTTTGGTTGTAAATGACTTCAAATCAAGAGGTTGATACTAAAGAAAACAGGACGGACTCATGGTTTATGCCTGTAAGCCCAGCACTTTGGGAGGTTGAGGCAGGCGGATCACAATGTCAAGAGATTGAGACCATCCTGGCCAACATGGTGAATCCCCGTCTCTACTAAAAATACAAAAATTAGCTGGGCATGGTGGCATGCGTCTGTAGTCCCAGCTACTTGGGAGGCTGAGGCAGGAGAATTGCTTGAATCCGGGAGGCAGAGGTTGCAGCAAGCCGAGATCACGTCACTGCACGCCAGCCTAGACCACAAGAGCGAAACTCCGTCTCAAAAAAAAAAAAAAGAAAGAAAGAAAGAAAGAAAGAAATTAGAGGTCTGCAGCTGCCAGCCCTAGGGTTGGGACACTAAATGTCCCCAACCCTGCACTGCTTCTCCTGACCTCCCCACTTCCCAAATCACCCAGATCTTAAAACAGTAACAGATGAATGGATAAAGAAAATGTGGTATATGTACACAAGAGAATATTATTCAGCCATAAAAAGGAATGGAATCCTGTCATTCATGGCAACATGGATGGAACTGGAGGAAACTGTGAGTGAAATAAGCTGGGAGAGCAGCAGGCGGCTTTGGAGGGCTCTATCTTCTCTCCAGTCAAAGGTGCATGGGGCTGGGCACAGTGGTTCATGCAGTAATCCCAGCACTTTGGGAGGCCGAGGTTAGAGGACTGCGTGAAGGCAGGAGTTTGAGACCAGCCTGGGCAATGTTCTCATTCATATGTGGAAGCTAAAAAAAAAGTTGCTCTCCACCGGGCAAGGTGGCTCACGCCTGCAATCCCAGCACTTTGGGAGGCCGAGGCTGGCGGATCACCTGAGGCCGGGAGATCACCACCAGCCTGACCAATGTGGTGAAACCCCATCTCTGCTAAAAATACAAAACTAGCCAGGTGGTGTTGCGAACCTATAGTTCCAGCTACTCAGGAGGCTGAAGCAGGAGAATCACTTGAACCCGGGAGGCGGAGGTTGTGGTGAGCCAAGATAGCGCCACTGCACTCCAGCCTGGGCAATAAGAGCAAAACTCTGTCTCAAAAAAAAAAAAAAAAAGAAAAGTTGCTCTCATAGGAGTAAAAAGTAGAACAAAGGACAATAAAGACAGAAGAGTAGAGGGAGGGGAATAGGGAGAGATTGTTAAAGAAATAAAATGACAGCTAATTACATCTAAGATAGAAGGATAAGTTCTAGTGTTCTTTACCCAGCCATCCCCAAACTTTTTGGCACCAGGAACTGGTTTCCGGGAAGATAATTTTTCCACAAATGGTTCAGGGGCGGGGGGGTGGCTTTGGGATGATCTCAGATCATCAGACATTAGATTCTCATAAGGAGTACACAGCCTTGATCCCTCCCGTGCATAGTTCACAATAGGGTTCAGTCTCCCATGAGAATCTAATGCCGCTGCGATCTGACAGGAGGCGGAGCTCTGGCAGTGATATTCACTCGT